TTTTTTTTCCTTTTTTTGTATAGATGTCTCCATATACAGATGAATTTTTTGCAACAGTCAATAACAGATAAAGAAGACACTGTTTTTTGCAATTCAATTATCCTAAAAAATTGGATTTTTTTTTATTTATTGTTGCTAATTATTGTGTAGAAACTATTTGATACGTGTTGATTGAGGAAAAAAAATTTTAAAGCAAGTTATTGGTATTTATTTCTATTCCTTTTTCGGGTCGTTGCAGATTAAATTGCCGAAAAGTAATTGAAACTACTGAAACTATAGTTTTTTTTTCCTTTTTTGAACGTTGCTTATTTTATACTTTTTTTTGCATATGTTTGTAGGTGTATTTTTATGTGTGTGTTTTTCTAAGCTTGATTTTGGAATGTTTTCTTTATTCAACATTCCGATGGTATATTGTACACGTACATAATATCGTTGGCTTTTTCTTCCTTTATAACGTATCTGTCATTGCTGTCTTATAAATAAGCAATTTCACTTAGCCTGTTCCATTTAGCGATGTGTTTAAAAATTCTGTCTTTAAATTTGTCGAAATTTACACTTTTTTAGTGGAAATTTTTTTTTTTTATTTTTAGTAAAATTTGTTTTTAAAAACGATATACTGATTTTTCATTTGTATATATATATATATATTTCTTACCATTGTTTGCTGAAAAAAATATAGTAAGAAGAAAGATGAATTCTGCTACTTTTTTTTTTCTGACTTACATTGTTTTTATAACTTTTTAAGTTTGTTGTCAAAATAACTTCTGAGTTTAAACATTTTTTGCCGTAATGCAAGTGAAAATGTATGCAAACATTCGCTGTGATCTATGGAAAACGGTTTTTTTTATTTGCATTTTTCATCGTTTACTTTCAACTTGTTTTCAGAAAAAAAAAATGCCGTTTTTTTTTTCATTTCTGGATAAAATTTTTGAAATGTTTTTGTCTCCAGTTTTCAAGCCAATTCTTTTCCTTTTTTTTTCTTCTATTTTTCTTTTTTTTTTTTTTTTGTCAGTTGTTGAAATTTATTGATTTAGAAGACGAAATTTTTAGCCTTATGGCAACTTTGGTTTATCAGGAGGTTTTGGCAAATGCATTCCAGACACTTTATTGGTTTGGTGCTAGAAGAAGTATGTCTGAATAATCGTACTGAAATGTAAACTTTTTAAGGATCTAAACTAATACCAAAAAATGTTCGCTGCTAACATGACATGTTTTCTGATTTCTTATATTGTTTATTGTTGTTGGTGGTACTTCTGAAGTTGTTGCTGTTGTTGTTATTGTTGTTATCGTCGTCGTCGTCTCGTCGCTGTATTCGTTGCATTTGTTGTATTTTCGTTGGCCAACAAATTGATTACAATGAAGAAACGATGAGAATGGGGTTAAAACTATGGTTGTTCTTGCATTATTTATATTTGTTTGTCAGGTATGGCGTATATTTTGCCCTCATTTTTTGTCGTATTATCCTCTCAATAAAGTTTTTCCGTCGAAATATTAGTCTACGGAGCGACTGCTACAGTCATCTTTAGCTTTCTAAAATTATATTAATTTATTATGCTTCCTCATTTTTAACATTCCATTTCGTCTATTTTTGTTTTTCATATATAGTCACTATAGTTCTGGATGTTATATTAGCTTTGAATTTTTCGTCTATTCAGTAAGCTAGTTGGTAGATAGCTATCTGGCTGGTTAACTGGTTGAATGATTGGTTAGTTGACCAGTTAGCTTTCTAATGATTGTCAACTGCGAAAACAGTTGGAGTAGTTGGGGAGGATCTGTCTGTACGGCAAAAAT